GAAGGCAGGGCGCAGGCCTTACAGAGCCTCTGCTTTGGGGCCGCGCACCGAGTACACTGGCGCTTTCGGGAAGTGCTGGGATTTGAGCTACCCTGGCTGTGATCCTGAGTTAAAGGCAGTAAGGGTGGGTGGGAAAGAGATGAGCTTCTTGCAAAAGAACCTTTCGAAGAGAAAAACCTATGAGCTATGATCCTCCAAGTGTAGGAAATGCTATGATTCTATGACCTCCAAGATCATCTAATATAATCTAATAATAATAATAATTGTAATGAAAACATCAAGGGAATAAGAGAGACAAAACCCAGGAAAAAACAGTGCTGCAACCGCTCACCACCCACCGACCGATGCCCAGCGCATCCCCAGGCAGCACTCGCTGCCCCCCAGCCAGCTCCCCCCAGTTTATATACTGGGCATGATGTCATATGGTCTGTCATAGCCCTTTGGCCAGTTGGGGTCAGCTGTCCTGGCTGTGCCCCCCTCCCAGCTTCTTGTGCAGCCGGCAGAGCAAGGGAAGCTGAAAAGTCCTTGGCTGGTGTAAGCCCTGCTCAGCAACAACTAAACCATCAGGGTGGTATCAACATTACTCTTGTCCTAAATCCAAAACACAGCACTGTGACAGCTACTAGAAGGAAAAAAAACCTCTATCCCAGCGGAAACCAGGAGAGTGAGTTTGGTGCTGGTGCAAAGCCCCAGGGAGCAGCTTCCTGGCTGCCAGGGGCTTCAGTGCTGCCGGTGCTGGTGGAGCCCCCAGGAGCCTTGGGGCCAGCAGCTCTCCCGGCTGGGTGCTTGTGTTTGCTCATCCCCAGCCCACTGGTGCTAAATGGGAGGGGTGGGGGGATAGAATGTCCCTGGGGTGCAGGTAGGGGGGACAGGAGTGCCCCCAGGGTGCAGGCATGGAGGAGAGCTGTGGCACAGATGTGGGCAGGGATGGGAGCTGCTGTCAGTGTGCAGGCGTGGGGATGGGTGCCCCACTGAGGACCAAACAGCTCCACAGGGGTCCGGGAGCTGCAATGCTGCCCAGCGGCCATGTTGACAGCAGCAGCGGGACCAAAGGTCCCTTCTTGTGTCACCGCGGTGTTGCCACAGGCATCACGTGGCTGTTTGCTCTGCTGTTTTGAAGATGGCTCTGCCCCCACCCAGCTCGTGGGGTTTTTCCCCCCCGCAGAGCCACGGCACGTGATGGAGGTGGACCACGTCCTGGGCAGCACAGATGGTACCGGCACCAAGCCCCCGGCTGCCCTCTGCTCCCTCACACACCACGCGATGCCCACAGATGTGCCGGCAAGCCATGGGCACCAGAGCTGCCACCTCCCCACGGCACAGGGAGCTGGGGCTGCGGGAGAGCCTGTCCCGCTGCTCGGCCCCAGCTCCAGCCGAGCACGTCCCCAGGCTTTGGGGCACAGGCAGAGATGTCTTGCAAGTCCCCCCCTCCAATGCCAGTGCTTGCTCTGCTGTCCCTGTCGTGTTGGCTGGCGCTCGGTGACCTTTGAGCGCTGGGGTCCGGCATTCTGATAAGGGCCGGGAGGGCTGTGCCGTGCTGCCCACACAGTTTATAAAAGCACCACGTGAGACCCATCCCGCCATCTGTCTGTCCGTCCCACCATCCGTCCCTCTGTTTGTGCAGTGGCCGGGGCAAAGATGTTGCGCTTGGTCGGCCGTGCCGCACGCTGCTGGGGGACGAGGCGGGCACCGCCGGGGACGGAGCAGGCACCCTGGGTGGCCCAGCACCCCATGGCTGTGCAGAGGGCATGGTGAGCACCCATGTGGATCTGGGAGGGGGGAGACATAACCGGGGGAGGGTCCGGGAGCTGGCAGTGCTCTTAACCCTTGTTGGGGAAGGGGATGCTCCCCCTCCTCCCCACAGCGCCACCAGGCACAGGGAATCAGCAGGGACTTGGGGTGCTCACAGCCTGGGGTGCTCGCTGGTGGCATCTCCCGGGGATGCTGCAGGACCATCGCCGCTCCCTCTGCCCCACAGCCTCTCCAGTGCTGCTGGGACGGGTGCCTGGCCCAAGGATGTGGGCATCCTGGCGCTGGAGGTGTACTTCCCCGCCCAGTATGTGGAGCAGGAGGAGCTGGAGCGGTACGACGGCGTGGAGGCCGGCAAGTACACGCGGGGCTTGGGCCAGCAGCAGATGGGCTTCTGCGCCGCGCATGAGGACATCAACTCCCTGTGCCTGACGGTGGTGCAACGGCTGGTGGAGCGCGGGCGCCTCTCCTGGGATGCCATCGGCCGCCTGGAGGTGGGCACTGAGACTGTCATCGACAAGTCCAAGGCCGTCAAGACCGTCCTCATGCAGCTCTTCCATGACTCGGGCAACACTGATGTGGAGGGCATCGACACCACCAACGCCTGCTACGGGGGCACGGCCTCCCTCTTCAACGCGGCCGCCTGGGTGGAGTCCAGTGCCTGGGACGGTGGGTGCAGGCAGGGACCGTGCCATGGGGATGGAGGGGCTGGACATGGGGTGGGTGCTGTGAAATGGAGGAAGGAGGCAGCAGATGGCCTGAAACCCAAAGATGCTCTGGCAAGCCTCAAAGGGAGCTGCTGCATCTCCAGGCTCCCCATCACCCTGGTTTCTCACTGGCCTTGGCCATCACGCCCAGCAGCGTGGGAATGGGGATGTGCAAGGGCTGCAGGACAGAGGGTCCCGCCCACTGATGTCCCCACCAGCCCCCCTGTCCTCCCCCAGGTCGCTACGCCGTGGTTGTGTGTGGGGACATTGCCGTCTATGCCACGGGGAATGCGCGGCCCACGGGAGGTGCTGGTGCCATCGCCATGCTGGTGGGACCCAACGCCCCGCTGGTGCTGGAGAGAGGTCAGTGCCACGAGACCCCGGGGGCAATGAACTGATGGGTGCCATCCTGGGGGCCGTACATCCATGTCCCAGCCCTGGACGGAGCTGCTCAGCTCTGTACCCTGCTCAGGAGCTGTACCCTGCTGGGTACCCCAGGATCCTGGCTGGCCACCTCCCTGTGGGCACCTTGGGGTGACCCAGGGACGTTGGTGGCTGTCATGGCAGGCAACACCCATGGGTGGTTGCCATCTGGCTGGGATCCCCCCCAGCACTCCCCGACAGCCAGCTCTCCCTGTTCCCTCAAGGCCTGCGGGGAACACACATGGAGCATGCCTACGACTTCTACAAGCCGGACCTGGCCTCCGAGTACCCAGTGGTGGACGGGCAGCTCTCCATCCAGTGCTACCTGCGGGCGCTGGACCGCTGCTACGCCGTGTACCGCCGGAAGGCGGAGAGCCAGTGGCAGCAGGGTAAGTGGTGGCACCCCTGGGGTGCCCACACCATCCTGCCGGATGCTGACAGCCCCCATGTTGCCTTCCAGCTGGCACCCAGCGACCCTTCACCCTCGACGACTTCAAGTTCATCATCTTCCACACGCCCTTCTGCAAGCTGGTGCAGAAGTCGGTGGGGCGGCTGCTGCTGAACGATTTCCTGGCTGCCCCCAACCCCGACACAGCCGCTGGCCTCTACAAGGGGCTGCAGCCCTTCCGGTGGGTCTGCGTGCCGTAGCCTCCGGCCCCCGGCCCAGCTGGGGATGTGCCTGTGCGGGGTTTGAGCCAGCCTCTCTCCGGGCAGTGGCGTGAAGCTGGAGGACACCTACACCAGCAAGGAGGTGGAGAAGGCATTCCAGGCAGCCAGCCAGGAGATCTTCAACCAGAAGACCAAGCCGTCCCTGCTCCTCGCCTCCCGCAATGGCAACATGTACACGCCGTCCATGTACGGTTGCCTGGCCTCCCTCCTGGCACAGTGAGTCCCCCCCAAAAGCTGGCTTGGGGTGGGGGGAGTTCATTTTGGGGAGGGCAGTCCTTGGCCCAGCTGGCTTGAGGGGCAGACACCAGCACTCATCCCCCTCTACCACAGCAGAGGCCCGATGCTTTCATTGCATGCAACCCCTGTCACGTTCACTTCTCGCCTCCTGCTCTCTCCCACCCAGCCTTTTCATCCCAGTTTGCTGGAGCTGGGCTGGCACATAAAGCCCTTCTGTCCGTGCCAGGAGAATGAAAACCCCCTTGTCGTGCTCGGAAGAATGGCTGT